ACTGTTGGTGTCTATGGAAATTTATGGGGTGCACGCCGTAGCGACGCTCTTTACAAAACGATGGCGCCCTTCCGGGTGACCGCAACCGGGCGAGAAAAGGCAAACAGATCCAAGTCTTCAACATGACACAAGTTTAAAGAAAGTGTGACTTTATTCTTGTTGTAAATAATAAGACGAACTGAAACAATGTGGTTAATTACAGAATATCAACAAGCCAACCTTGTATTCAAAATGAAATTAGCCTCTCCAATCCACAACTGGTTAATATTTGATTTTCGATTTTTGATTATTTGATCTTTTTTTTTTAAATTACGTACTTTATTGTAGTTTTATTTAATTTGCAAGTTTTAACAGTTTAAACGCAGATTTGTCAGCAAAAACATTGTACAACAGTTTATTAACCCCACTACAAACCACATAAACAGGTTCTAACGTGTGATCGATATCATAGCTTGTTACATTCTGATCCACTCGTACTAGTACCTCCTGTTTCTTGTTCAGTTTTTTTGCTTTCGGATCTTCGAAAACTATTCCGCTCGGTGGAACAGGACATCCTTTCACAGTATTTAGATTTTAATTTTAATGCTGATATCCTTCCTTTAATACTGACGACTTGGCGACTCAGTGAAAGTAGGCTTACATCGAAGAACAAATAAAAGCAACCAGGTTGATTGTAGCTCGCAATCTGAAGACGAAATCTGCTCGCATGATGTTCATAATTACGGACGGCTCTCGACGGGACTTCTTGAAATCTTGACACACTTGTAGTGAATTATCTTGAGCGCAGATACTTTTTCACGGCGGTTCATTAAGGTGACTCGTTGAGGGAAATTGGGAAAACGCAGTAGAGAAATCCAACAAGATATCGTGATTCTTATGTAGTCCAGTTGCGTATATAGTCACTTCTGGCTTGACAGAAACTAACAAGTTTTGAGAAATTCTTATCTTTGGGGCCATAAACAGCAAGGGAGACATTTAAACTTGCTAAAGATGGAGATGAGGAACCTTGCAGTATGCAGATCGTTGACGACACAAAATGTTTACAACTGAAGTGCAAAACTGAAGGAGGCTCTCTCAGGAAGGTTGAGGATCGTGAATTCTAAGGTTTATACATGTATATACAAACGATAGTCTGACGGCTTGATGATGGAAGTTCAACAAGTCACTTCTTCTGCATGCACGTTTTGTGAATGCATCCTTCCTGTGAAGCTGTTCTGCAGGCAATTTCACGTGAGCTTTTCAGTTTTATGACAGTCAATGTCGGGCAGATGTTTCTTCCTCAAGATGCCTCAAAGAAAATACTAAGTCGCAACAAAGGTGTCGAAGTCCCGAAACCATACCTGAAAGTCCAATTATCCATCCTACTCACAGATATTTAAGATAAAATGTCAACTGATTAAAAGTTTGATTTATTTCTCATCATTACCATGTTGCAATTGAATATACGTGTAGGTTAGTTGTATTCATTTTATCTCGTTACCACGTTGAAAGCTTGTTTAATTCCTCCTTATTTCAAACCTACGTTATTTCCCTCTAGTCGGGTAAAATCCCCAAATTATCCTACCCGGCGCATGAGCTCTTGCTGCGATGCCTGCAGCTGCATACGGACGCAGAGCGAATTACCCGCGAGCGCATTCATCCCTAATGTTAGAAATACCAAACATGTACCCACAACGCATCATCAGTTCCCACGCTAACATATATCACGCAGCTGTAGATGTGCAACAAGATGTCTGCAAGTCTACCAACAAATTCTCTAAGACGGAAACAAACAATTCGAACGTTAAACTGAGATACAACCGTGTACAAAATTCCGACGTATTCCGATACGGTGGTAGGCCTACCGTTGGTGTTCCCGGGTATAAGTTTCCGTCTTCAGATTCACTTTCATTCCTTAGATCCCTTAGCTCACTCACAACAATAATTTACAGAACTCATGTTTCATTCGAGGGGGCCCCCATCACACCAGCTCACAACCACCATGGCAAACACATTCACCACCTTTCGCACCAAACCACCACAATCATACATGACTCATTTTAAGTTCCTACGTTAATGCATTTTGCCAGCAAGTAGGTTGCGCTAAAATTAGCAGCGCAGCTAGCATTATGTGTTTTGCATCTCTCACCCTCATACTGCCCATCAATATAGTTTTCCTCTGACTTATACGCTTGTTTATCTTTGTTAATTTAAAATCGACTTTAAAATTAAATTAAGTTACATTTTTTATCCACAACTCCTGGTTTAAGATTTCTTAAACAAATGTACATAACAATTCATAAGAATTATGCTTTACCCCAGTCCTAATCACATAAACAATTCCTCGCTTGTTATACAAGAACAGTTTACTGGAACAATTAACCACATTATCAATAGTCACAAGCTCCAAAATGACAGCATACCATCGTGTTGCACATCGCCGATACTCTCTCGCGGCTTCTATGTGTCTTGTTCATATCCCACGTTCGAAATAAGATTAAGAAGAACAGGGACAAAATACGAAGAAGATATCCTCTCTCACTGCCACGAATGTAGATTTCGATTATCATATTTGACGACCCTTTCATTTCTGATGAAATAGCAATGAAAGTGTGTCGAAGAAGAAATGTGCACACATTTAACCCATGGTGATTTTTAATAACGGACGATTCCTGGCTTGAATTATCAAATCGTTGAAGTCTTGTGGTAGCATCTTTTTTTCAATATACTTCATTTTACTGAGGCTTATAAAACTGGCTAATATGAAGATTCTAGAATTCAGTTGAGACAACCGACGGAAGGGTGGCGGTCCTTGGAGATATGACTTCATACAGTTCAGTTCTTAAAGCCTAAACATTTTTGATGATTACGATCCTGTGAAGTTGGATTCTTCTTTTACGATGGTTTATTGAGTCCAATGTGGAGACGGTTGTCTTTAATTTTGGAAACAGTTTTTACCCTAAGAGTCCTCAATCCTCAGTCCATTTCCAAATAATCCAGCACGTATTAGTCATTTACTTTAGAGAAACTCCTGTTTAAATTCATTTCTTTGCAAATCAGAAATTTATGGGAATTCATATGATTGAAACTCTTATCTGATAACAAGGAAAAAATGTTGAACCCACTCCTGAAACGACGACATTCTCTGTTTTGATTAAAGTTAAAAACAGTTTTCAACATTATGTTTTCAAGTGCTTTACACGGGTGTAACAAAATATATCTAAATAACTTTTATATTATTCAAATAAGATTATCAAAGTAAACAAAGTGATATCGAAACAAATATAAAGGTGAAGGCCAGATGTACTGTAGATGAGAGTTCCAGCGTTCAGGGCTTGAGAAGTGGGTGATAGATGACCACATTACTTTGTATGTGTGACTGGTATAGGATACAAGGAGCTTGAGTGGAGGGTTCGATGGGGTCGGCGAACGAATCACCGGAGATATAGATAAATATATTTAGCTCATCTTTTGAGATAAAGTGCAAACGCTGTGAAATTTCTGAAGACCTGAAGACAGTGGATGAAGAAGAAGACAATCTGTTGAAGATGGAGTTCTGAATATTTTATGCCAAGTTAGTTTACATCGCTGATCCAATACACCACGGAGACACGTTCGAAAATACCAGGGGAAAGGGCATGATGGGTTCAGTCTGTGCGTTGAAGTGTGGCGTTGTTCAACATCTCAATTCTTGACCGTTTCTTTCCATCGTGACATCACAGAAGAAAATGTTGACATTGATTGGTAAATTGAATTCCTGCTAAAGGCACCACAGTAGAAAAGTTTCACATAATACACATTGAACTCCCCAGAAACATGATTATGATTAATGATTTGCTGACTATTTATTGCAAAATAGTTAATGACTTTAATAACGATTTAGAGTAGATTTATATTAAAGGTTACGCAGCTTTATCATTAATTATTCAACGTAGCCTATGTAATTTAATTTTGTTATTATTTGCACCCCAATGTACCCTAACTCCGTCCCCCATCCGCAATTTGCCTAGCGCAAAGCAGACTGTTTATAATTGCGTCGAGTCGCATGCGTGCTAGCCTAGCCTCCCAACAACCACCACTCACCATTTTTCACGACTCATACAAGTACTCGATTGTGTATCTTGACTCACATTCTAACAGACTCGAGATGCAGTATCGAATCGAATAGTCGAATCGATACTGTTATTCTCGCTGGGCTAAAGCGAGAATCCGAAGATTCGTTTTCGAATTAAAATACCCGTTTCCGATTCCGTGTATAAGACACTACTCACAGAACATACCTGCAAGAGCTGTCATTCAACACTCAACCATTCCCACCTACATGCACACCAGCTTCTCAACACTGCCACTGCTTTGGTTCGCGCTGCCTAACGCGTGCGCATTTGCGCTGCGCCTTTCCGCTATATCCCACCCCGTCGTTGTGCCTACTTACATGTATCAGTTTCTTTTGTACGTTCTTATTGTTTATCGTTAAAGGTGACATAAATCAAAGATTGCTAGAACTATGTTGAGCTTTCTGCATATTTAAGGTGTTACTCTCAAAACGAAGGTTTTAATTTGCATGTTTAGCGTGCACTTACATGTATTGAAAACCTTATGTTTTATTTCAAAAATAATTTAGCCAAGAGTCTTCAAGTCGTTTGAAAGGTTCCTACTTTTTGATTATAATATGTACTCATCTTTATCCCGGCCCCATTATGACAAACACACGTTTGCTCTCGATCAGTTGGTCAACACAGACAGCACGTCGATCATCTTGCTGCATCAAATTATTTTTGAAGACTGTAGTGATATTCACCATCTTCCACTCAAATTGAAGAAAACAGAGTAAGAAGTTGAAGGAGATTCCGTTCTACAGTGAAGTCATCTTCACCTTCCATCTCATCTCCATAGGTTCAACTGTAATTCCGAAATGATTTTTGCTGGGCCAAGAGGGAAGTCATCGTGGAAGAGATTCGAATTCAAAAGACGACTGTTTGGCGTATCCATGTAGATTTCCACAGTCGGGATGATGACACTTAGATGCAAGGCGTTCCATGGAAGAAGATAATGAGGAGTGAAAGAAACAGCTTAGACTGAAAGAAAAAGCTTAGAGCTGAAAACAGCTATCTCAAAGGTGACCAGTAGGCATTTGTCCGTTTCTAGGAGTACCCCAAAATCAGTCAACACTTGTATGTTTCTTCTTCACGATTCCATGAATATAAAGTACATGTAGATACATTACAACACTGACTATCAGATGCTGCAAATTTTATTTATTTAACGACAAACATGATATCGTGACAATACACCTGTATTTGGTACAAATTTAAAGATACAATTTGAAAGCCATCGTTTTTCAAGGTTGCCTGCATTCCATTCTGAAAGTTTCGATAACAAAATGTACCAGTGCGATAACTGACCCACTGACCCACTTGAACACGTCGTGTGCATAACAACACACTTCATAATTTAAAAAGTTAGTGATGATCATATGTATATAAGAATCAACAGTTAATTAACATAACGAGCATTCAGTTTTTCGACGTCCACGTTCCACAGCTCAGTCTATGTGCGCTTAACACAGAGGTTTCCATTCATGTCATCAAGAATCCACAGGTGGTTTGATTATGTTCCAAGCTCGCTTTTTGTAAACCAGCAATTCACTCGCAAACAATACGCTGCAAAAATCGATATGCAGGAATCTACATTTTATTTATAGGGCAAGCAGTTCCAGGAATAAAAAGGATCTTCATCTCCACCCTTCTCTCAAAACACATGTTTTACTTGCACAAGAATGTGTTACACAAAAAAATTGTAAGGTTAAAATATGTCTAAAATAGCAGAAAAGGGTCTTAAATATTATACATGTATATTCCACTTACCTGTTAGGGTTTTGTGTTATCTTACCCGTCTTGAAGTTAAGACTGTCCGTCATGCATAAACCTTTAGTCCTTTTACTTGAATCCTAAGAAAATCTTGAAATTCATTTGTAACATCTCCTTTGGGACAAAAACAGGCAGAGCAACTTGTCAATGGAAAGTCATTTGTAGCGACTTGCTCATCATAACCTTTTAATACTGGAAAGAACCCCAGCCTCGTGGATATTGCCCACTCGTCTTATTATAATCGCCTTTATTTGCTCTGCTGTTACTTAAACGTATCAGAATTTTTCAGTCTTAACATGCAGAATAATTTTGAAGCATTTCACAGTTAGTTAGCAATACTAATGATGAAATTTGCATCTCTTCTCCAACATAAGCTATTTACAAGACAAAATGTTACCACAAATAGGAACAGTTGACTGCACGGATACTCCCTGTAAAACAAATGCTTGAACGCTAATTATTTCTTCTCAGTATTTTTCGACGTTTGTAGTCTATGTGTCAAGATTATAAACTATACACATTCCCCAAATACCTTTCAGGCTGTAAAGTATCGGAGTCCCTCTAGGGGAAAAAAATTCACAGTCATCTGTTGTTCTTTGGTAACAACACAACAGAAATCTCTATGTGCGCCCCACCGTATGCACAGCCACGTCAAGCGTCGTCATTAATAATGTTTATGGTAAGCAAAATATACATGTATCTCAGGAATTCTTTTCAGACATCTAGGGGTGTGTGTTAAGTGATAATAGGTTGGAGTGTGTATAGGGATTGGACTTGTTGGGGGGTACCCATCTGTCCCATTGTGTGCCTGGTATACAATTTTCTGCTAAAGTAAGCAGACTTTTCAACTGTTAAGCAGCGAAATTAGGCCCAGGAGCATCACCCAATCACCATGTAATAATATACCTACCTGTCCATCCTCTCTTCAATCCCACCGCCGGTCCACAAAAAGTAGACCTACTCTAATCCAAGTTTTTTTCCCCTCACTTACTACGATGCTCATAAGAGAGATGTCCCTGAGCTAACCTGCAGAACTGGAGTCACTGCAGCACATCCAGTATAAATTCCAAAGGAGGCCTGGACCTGAGCCTTAAAGCTGTAAAGCTGAACATCGTCTCTGGCTTGAAGCTCTAAATACGCTTCCATACACAAATTTCGAAGTTGACAGATATTCTTGGTGCTGTCTAGGCCTAACTGTTCCCTGTGAACACTCTAGGAGACATGCACATGTTGAAGAGTAGAAAAATTACTTTAAAATTCCATTATAGAGAACATAAATGTCAGCCAACGTTAGTTAGTTTCCGAACATGTGACACAGTGAATATCTTCAAAGGTGCGCGCGTCAAAGAAAAATGCAAGCCAGCAGCCGACAACTGAGTGATAAGGCCTTTATGCATTTTACATGCAACCTCTCAGGAGTGTTACTGTGTTCCTACGCGGCCAGGTTTCCTACGTAATTAGTTTTCACAGTTGAACTTTTGTGATTGCTGTAGCACATATACAATTTTTTCAAATCCCCAAATAGAAAAAACAAACATCTTCTTACTTTGTGTAAAAGTAGTTTTGTATTTTAACAAAACAGCACGATCTAGTTTCTATAACGTGGAATGATACTGACATGAGACTAATTTTGTCACGCTTCCGCTGAAGCAGGTAGCTGTCATTGGTCAGAAGTTCACCGTTGGAATTTTGATTGGCAGCTGACTGTGACGATCATAACAGCTGCACTTGTTTACAAAATTCTTTTTCATATGGAGAGCCTGATAAGGCAAAACACAAAAATGAAAAGGCACGAAGTTAAACATACATTTTGAGGAAATTTACGTTATCGACAATGGGACAATCGCCTGGAAAAATTTAAACTTTGCTTGCTGGTACTGAGCTTGTAAATTTTGAGCAACTGGTGAAAAAAAATTATTCAAAACTGCTTAAAAAATATGTAGGCCTAGCTCTCCTATGTGCAATCAGCTTGAAATCATTAAACAAGTATTAAAATTTTCCCAGCCTGGAAGTCTTTGTACCCGCCATCTTTTACGCTTTATTTTCTTGCAGAATAAGCACTGTGAGGGGTGGAACTGAAATAATCTCTCTGTTGGGTAAAATGACCGTTTTAACTACTTTTTTTGCTGAACTTAATTTTTTTTTCAAACAAGAAATTTGACAGAAAATATAGTACAATGAAATATTAAACAGATTTCTGGTAGATTTCCATAATGTTACCAGAATTTCAGCAGAAGTGATTAGAAGAAACAATAGAAGATTGGCTTTGAACAAACTATTCTCAAAACCAAACATTTTTTTCAAACAAATGGTTTACAAGCCCTTGAATGATGGGACTTGTTTATTATGAAGTGCCTTATTTGGGCAATGTTTGAACAGGGTCTAGGATTCATATTGTATTTCAGGTATTTTTCAGCTGATTTAACAGATTTTTATTAATCTAGCAGATTTTTGGTGTGCATCTACCAAAATTGTGCCATTTTCACTTGGTCACCCCGCTGATAGGAAATGCTACGGTCCCCTGGCGCCGTTCAAACTTTTACCTAACGTTCTGATGTTAAATGTCACTCAAAATAATAAATGAAATGCTAAAATTCCGTAGTACGCTTACTCTCACATTGCGCGAAAGACTGACAAATTTCCTTTTTTTTCAGTGATTCCCTAAGATTCCCCCTGGAGAGCGAACATTTGGCATTCCTTTTACATCACCTCTTTCAAAATGTGCTTGTTGAAAACAAGATTAATACCTGTATAGTATTCCCGTATTTTCATGGCCCATGCTAATTTCAACTGAATTTACATGTACCTCTTATCCATAATGCCCTGGTTGTTGTTCAGCCTCCTACCCCCCCCCAAAGATGGTGAATATTCAACTTCGCAAAAGATGCTGTTGAGCCACAATGGACCAATCAGAGATCGATTCAAGAAACGGAAATGCACATTGCTGTGCCGTAGGGGGCGCTTCAACGGTCACTCAAAAAATCAGCTGGCGTGCGTACGCGAAGGGGTGCTTGAGGAGAACTGGGGGGTAGTCATGGTTTTTTAATCACTTTTTCATCATTCCAGAAGCTTTGTGGTTTTCTTATTCTCTATATAGATGTTGCAAGACATTTACCTATCATGAAGGGTGAGTATGAGTAATGTCTATCCCTAATGCAGTTGTGTCTTGGCGTTGAAAATGAGACTCTTGCCGTCACGACTGACGACCGCGTTTCTCAACGGTCAGTCTGCGGTTAAGGACGACCACCAAAGCCGTTTACACACGCGGAAAGCTTCGTCCGAGCTGTTTTATTTTTACCAATGATAGAGCAAGGGTGCTTGCTCTGTACTACATGTACTTGCAACCTGGTGACTTTACTTTGGCATGTGTGGCCTTCCAAATGTATATCGTCGGCGGGGTGTTCTGCAACTATGCCTACTCCCTTCAGTGCCCTTGTTTCCTAATCCAGTACTGTCATGATTGTCATGTAGGCTAGTAATACTCATGTTACTACTAGGCCTAGGCTACATACTTTTCAAAAATCGTGAAAATTTGAGTAGGCCTTGCCATGCTCCCTGGCCTCTGTTGGGCTCTCCTCCCACAAGTAGGCCTAAAAAATGGTTAAATTAGTCCAAGTAAGTTGAAGTAATATGGACTTTATGAATCACCTTTTTATTTGGACATGGGTGGACGATAGTGCCGTAGCCGCCCAACCATGTCCGAATGTTTAAAAAGGTGATTTGTGGAGTCCAAGTTATCCGGACCGTAGTAAGAGTATGGTGAAAGTGTCAGTCATGTCAGTGGGTACATACATATACATGAACCTGCAAACCTTTTTGACGTGTGCAATGCATTATGGGTGTGGATGACAAACAAGTGATGCATTTTTGCACAACCCTATGGGGGGGTGAACCAGTCAAAAATCAAGTTACAGTTTTCTACTAAATATTTTTCATGTATCTGCTCATCAACTCACAGATGCACGCATATTGTCAGATTAAACAAGAAACATTTTCAAATCGTTTTCAAATATTTGTAAGAATCAATCACGCTGAATTGCCTTTTTTTAAGGGCACCAGTCACTCTACAGGCTGAAAATGAACGTGACTGGTCAAAGCGGGACGAATGAGCTGCAAGTCGTTATTTTGATTGGACAATACTAGAACATTAATATTTACGAATTAGTCAAAGCACAGTCCGTGACAAAAAGTGGTGTTGTAGGAAGGAATTCTCCGAATTTTCCTTCTCTACCAAGCTTTAAACTTCGAAGTTTGTGAATATCTTCGTCCCAAACCAATAATGCCACACTTTGTCAGAAGGGGGTGGCTTGAATCGGAGTATGAAATAAAATGGAAACAGATTAACATTTGGCAGGTGCACTTCTCCCATAGGATTGTGCATAAAATGCATTGTATGTACAGTACATATATGTAATCCAAACCCACAATGCATTGCGAACGTTGAAAAGGTTTATTCAACTTGTACGTCTTCGCCATAGAAAAAGAAACCAAGTTCAAGTGTTTCCTTTCAAACAGAGCAACACATTTTCAAAAAAGATATTTGATATTGCCTGGCATGCCTGGTACATGTACATTATAAAAACGGGAAAGAGTTCCATGTATACAGACAACACTTAACGCTCTTGTGCAGAAACCTATGAGACTTGTCTGAAAACACCCAAGTGTTTTCTGAGTAAATGCTTCGGAATTTTCTTACCAAACGTTCACTTTTTAGGACATGTTATCACTTTCTAATGGCTGTTACAACATTTTAAGGGACAATGAGTGTTGTCCGTATATGGAACTCTTTCCATAAAAAAATTTCTTTTTATTTGTTTTTGAAGAGCCCACAATTTTTTCTAAATAGAAAAAGAAATTTCATTTAGCCAAATCCACCCATCAGGTCCCATAAAAAATGTTTTCAAAAGATATCCATTACTAATAGTATAGAGTCTAACATGTCACAAATATAACTGTGAAGAAATATAAATACCAGTCAGAGCCACTAGTTTTACAAAGGTGGCCGGTCTTTATTTATATTTTTGATATTGATCATTAATCATTATCGTTAATCATGAAGAAAGCATCGTTACTTGAATGGACTTTTACACTTGACAAAAATACAGCACACATCCTCACACATGTCAATACTGAAAGTACAACATGTAGGCATACAAAAAAAATTTTGTTTAAAGGTGGTCATCGTATGAGCCGGTCAGTGTACAAATTGATTGGCAGCTTGGTGTACAAGTTGGTTGGTGACTTGGTGCATGAGTTGGCATGATCAGCATACAGTTTGGTGTATGTTCGCTCGCTTGTATGAATTGACCAGCATTCTATTTGAACCACAGTTTTGACCATAACCCGCTCTTCAGATTTCGTGGTTTGCAGGCTGCATCTTCATCAGGTCATAGCCTCGTAGGCTGCAATCATATGATGCTATCAGAAAGCTGCAGCTATAACTTGCATTTTTCAAAACAACCTTCCCAAGGTGTGAATTAGTTCCTAAAGAAAACAGTGGCACAATTGACAAACGACAGCATCAAGGACTGATAGTACAACAGCTCCGGCGATTGATCACATATAAGCATGCTTGCATCCAACACCTACAGTATCTGTAATAATGTCCATCAAAGCGTATTCATCCACCAGTATCCGCCTTGAGCAGAAGCACACCTTCATCAGTTGAAAAGAGCCATGGTGGTGGGGAATGTTCATCTTTGTTGGTAGTTACACGACTGCAACATGTGCATTTCAGAGTCATTTGTGAACTAGCAAAGTGTACATGTAGTTCCCATCAAAAGAGCCTCCATTGCTGGGAAAATGGTGCCCTCTCTTGGTTCAGATTGAGGCTCATATACTGGCAGGAAAGAGTTCCATCTCTTGCCACCAGATTCTTGACTTTTATAAATTTGATTTAGATCAAATTGAGTAATGTTTCCAAAATCAACACTGTTCAAACAAGTAACCAAATGGTTCTTGTAGGTCTGCTTGTTTTCTGTGCATTCTAATACCTGCCCCACTGGGACTACATTTAAAAATTTGAAGCCAGCAATAAAACAATTTGCCACTCGTGACCCCATAATTCCCTTATAAATACCCCATATAGTCATATTATCATATTTTCCATTGGAAGCATGTGGATGGAAAAACAGTGGTTTACTTGTACATGTAGTTAATTTACATTAGCAACTAATTATTGATTAGTTGGAAGTTAAGACTTGATGTTATAATGGTGGAGAACTAACAGACATATGTTTGCAAAGTTTTTGATGATGAATTTAAACGTTAAAAATGAGACTAATAGTCAGTCATTTTTGTTCAAGTATCAGGATTGTGACAGCCCTAATGCCGTACTTGTGTCTGTTTGATTTCTAAAACGTATTCATTCATTCCACAGAGTTTCATGCAGCCAAGACCAAGATGTATAGCTTGAGGTCCTACACTCTCAGTAGCCTTCCCCATGAAGTACTAGTCCAACTCTTCAAATTTCTGCCTCTCAGGGACTTAATAAACACCAGACAAGTAGGTCATTTATCATAGGATATTTTCTGAAATGACCGCCGGTTCTTACTTTAGCGGAATGCGAAAGTGCAGCAAAGGTGATGGATCACAAAACGTTTGCAGTGAAATTCTTTTGAGTGGAATTGTGTTTAACATTTGCTAATTCACAACATGAATATGTTATGTGATGCCTCAAAATCACTTTCGTCTTCGTTTTCACACCAGCTGTCCCCTGCCAGTTCAGTACTTCTGTGCACCCGTTATTATGTACATCAAGGTTTGATAATTCTCACTAAGGATAACTTCTTTATAAAGATGAACAAAGAAATTGACTGGAGTGGGATTTGAACCTGCGACTTCTGGAATACCATACCAGTGCTCTACCAACTGAGTTATCCAGCCCTACGTGTATGTTGGTGGCTCTTCACATTTATCAATATCTCTGTTCGGGGGGTTGCTAAGGATAATTTCGGCAGAGAAATACAGATATGACTGTTGAGTTGTGATCAACTTTGCTATCTGCAATTTCCATTTATTCAGCGAGAAGTGGAAGTATATTAATCCGGAGCACAAAAATGATTGTGAAACAGTGAACCATCCACAGTTGTAAGAGTTCTGTACTTCAGAACAAGAATTTGAGATGTGGATACTCCTATGGTTTTGTGTACATAGGATGGGGTTTCAGTCTGAAGTCAGTCCTTGATGCACATATATAGGCAGTTGATATGCTGAAGTGGCTGTCTGTGTTATATACTGTACACTTCTCTTCATATTTGTCACTGAAGAATAGCTTGCGATTGTATGAGTGGATCCTGCTTGCCTGGTGTGTGATGAGGATCACAGACTCATAGATCACCTTGTGTACATTAGACATTGGAATGTTACAAAGGAGATGCTTGCCTGAGTGCGTTTGGCATTGGGCTGTCCAAGTGGGATTTGTGTTTCACCTACACTGTGCACGTATATTGACCATGTTTTTTACGCAGGTTTGCTCCAAATTCAAATGGCTTATAGACAGCACACCTCACCTGTGGACAACAGCCACTCTCGTTGATGAATGGCCCAATAATGTCAATTTCAATCATTTTGAAAGGTAATTTGCACTAATTATGTCCTTTCTTTAACTAACTGGATGCATAGTACTGCTGTTAAGAACTTTTCATGGAGCATAGTTGTTCTTCATAATCATTAATTTAAGTGGTTTAATATGAGAGAAATTGATTAAGATTAATTTAGAACAAGCACTATCATAATAGTTTCCTTTTCTGTTCCTATCAGCCCCAGAAATGTAGTTAAAAACCAACTTCCCATTGCATATTGGTACATGTACAATGTATTTATTCAGATAAGTTTCAATTCTGTGTACATGTAAGTGTATGCTGATTATCCATACCCATAGCACAGTCTGTGTGTTCACTTTACAACATGTGACACCAATTTTGCAAGATGTTTAGTGTTGCACGTTTTACTCTTGCATTTGTTAATTTGAAAATTGTATACATTTCACTGCTCACTCTGCAAAAAATGATTTATGTTATCCTAATGGAGTATAAGAAATGTAGTACACAAATACCTGCCGATTCAACTTTCAAGCCCACTGTTGTGAAATTTGGTTTTCATGCGTTTAAACTTGATTTGATTTTGTTCTGTGCAGAGCTGCTAATATGGACAATGTGGAGGCATTGATCAAGATGGGCATAGCTTGCCTCTACAATGAAGGATGTAAGTTTGAGACCCGAGTCAAGTCAAATCTTGTATATTTTGTTCTTGTTCTTCACTAAGTGAACCTAAACTGCTCAACTACTGTGGAAGATCTCAATGGCAAATTCTTCAAGCCTATGTAAAGTTAAATTTGACACCTCCCCCAATCTACCAGTACATCCTACTACATGTAAGATTTGGAAGGATGTTGTTGGAATTTGGAAGTTGGAATATGTGTTGAGTTAGAATTGAGTTAGTTTGTGTGGAGTTAGAATTTAAGAATTTATGAAAGCCAGATCACTGATGTTTATTGATTCAAAATGTCTACCATTTCATGAAGCAAAGCCCATCTAATTTTTCTCTCTGTAAGCAAGTAAACACGAGGGCTGCTTCCAAACTTCGTTTTTGAAAAGAAAATTATGAAACCAGTAATGTGGGTCATACAATAAAGCAGTCGTATTGTAGCCCCTATTGCAATCCCAGCTCTTCATGTATTTGACATACTGCCTTATATTTTTTTCCAGATCCTGGATCATTCGATAATGACACCAGTACCAAAGGTCATCATGCTGCAGATTTCCTCTGCCGGGCAGAGAGACTCCTGAAAGGCAGAGACCTGTTCTTGTGGGCTCTTATACGACCCCCGTGGAGCAAGAACAGTGCCTGCTGCAAGGCTACTGTTTTCAAACTATTAAAGGAAATGGCAGTCAACTCTCAGGTACTTCTGTAATTTTTTTCTTTGCGTCTATTATCCCTCACTGCATCAAATCCAATGAGATTCCGTGTCATTGGCACTTAACCTTGAGTATTAGAGCCAACTACATGTATAGAAAGAAAGAAGTCCTAAAGATATCCCTGCATCAGTTTATTTTTAGAATTGGTAACATAGGAGTACAACATTTCCAAGCTGCTGCAGTTAATTATCAGACACTAATTGTCAGTGGGGCCTTGGGCTCATTTCCCTCGGTTGAGGTCTTATATGTAGGTGGTACGTGTATTTTGCTCTAATCTTGCAAAGGAAGGCAGTTTGCGTAGTCTAGTAAACCCCTGTAGCAAACTCCGACGTCCAAGCACACAGGGTCTGTTTTTACATGAAAGGGAAACCCTTGATAAAATAAAGTTCTAATAATTGAAATTGAAATATCTGTGACCTTTGCAGGAATGTGACGAAACAATACTTTACTGCATTGCAAGAATCACCATCATACTGCAGGTATCATACTTGTTTGAGACATTTTCAGTGCAGGACAATTTAATGCATTAATTAGCAAGTGAACATATTTGGCTTCAAGTCGAAACATCATTTTGCCGTTATTGCCCTCTTGTGTAATCTCTCTTCAGGATGACAAAAGCAACTACGTGTACAATGTATGTCAAATTGCTTTGTAACTGTTTTTCATGAGGAAAATATCTGTTCACAGTTTCTAAAAGGCTACATGTATGTTTCCTGTGGATTATTGTGAGCAACCTTAAAAATGAAAAGAATTCAACGTTCAAGCCTTAGGAATTCTCTTCAGATTTATTCTCTTAGCCTCGCTGCTTATGAAAATGAAATCTATGTCAGTACCTTGACCTTAACTTGCGAAACACAAGCAAGACTCTGTTCACTGTGTCAGAAGTTGTTATGGATTTATAAATATGCAATCAGATGATGAGAAGTGTGGTATAATTTGGCTCAATGGCTTGTTTTCTGATGTTTATGTTTCATCAAATACCTCAGGATGAGGATCCTGACGATGATGGTGAGGGTTGTATGGCAGAGGACACTCACACCTGGCTGGCCAGAGCTGCAGCTGCTGGCTCACACAAGGCAATGCTGCAGCTATGGCAGTATAATGAGAAGGAATGCCTGGTAAGACCTTCCAAGAAAACTGCAGCAAAATAACCTGATCAGTTAAGCCTCTTGTCCCCTGATGTTTGGGCGATTCACGGCTATGATTGTACAGCAGTAGTCTGTTTTGGGCATTCCCAGAGTGTGCATGTTGTTCTCCACATGCTCAGTTGCAGGCTTAATTGAATGATCTTTTTGGATATGGAGTTAAGCAAGAAGTACCAACGTGCCAGAAGGGATCCACAGTTTGGCTTGAAATGTTGTCTTTGTGTAATAGGTTTAAGAGTGACACTTCTGGTATAGACTCAGATTGAATGATGGTACAGACCTTGAAAATATTTGGTGTTCATTTTTAAGTTCATATCACCTGCCCTTGCAGAATCTTAGTGGCTCAAAGACCTAACATGAAGACAAAAAGTAGTTTCTTTAACCCTAACAGTACCGGGCGTTGTTTGGCTAAGAGTACTCCGTACTACAAAATACTACGTAACACTTTGAGCCTGAAGGACCTAGCGCTACAAATTACTATTTTTGGCTAGGTTACTTCCATTGTTATTCATACAGAGAACAATGAAACCATGCATGCATAGTACCACAGCACTGTGTGCTACATTATCTTCTCGATTGTATTTTATGGCTTCAGAGAATAATAATGTCATGTCCTCTTACAAGCGGGCTGAGTACTATATTTTACTACTAAGTAGTACTTTGTAGTATTCGGGACTGTTAGGGTTAATGGATGTGTAGAATGTAAGCCTATTGTTTAGTTCATTTGTAATTCTTCCAGGATGCTGCCTCCAAGCTGGACAGAATAAGACAACTCAGGGAAATTGTGGCATCACATCCATCCAAAGTGGCCAAGGTAAAAGTTGGCATCAAGTGATCATTTTGTGTAGTTTTACATTACAAGTATAACATCTACAGGAAATTTTTGTGTTCTTTTAAGTTGCCTCGAAAATATCTACAGAATCTTTTCTTGTCTTGTGACTGGGCTCTTTTTCTCATCTTGTGCAATTTTGTCTTAAGATGGAATTATTCAACGCCTATGCCAAGGGCCACTTTGGTGGTCTCTTGGAGTCCCAAGCAGCTGAAGCCACCCGTGCGTATGTCCAGGAATCAGGTCTGGGCAACTCACACAACATCTTTAATGTGCAGTCATCGCTCAACAATGCAATGAGGTTAGTACCCAACAGTCTGCAAATTCAGGGCCCAATATCACAGGGCTGCTTGGCAGAGAAAATGTCTGCTCAGCAAAAACAGGTCACCAGCCAAAATATCATTTGATGCATATTGCCTGAGACTGCTTTTCCAGTGATTGTTGCTAAACACCTAAAGATGCCAACTTACTGAGTAATATTTTTACTTGGCAACTGTAGAAATTGGGCCAAGTATGTTATTGGATGAGCATTTTAGTAGAGTGCTGTAGTTCTTCTGTTGAAGTCAAGTATGTTAATGACTTAAGTTTGTTGCCAATGGACCTAAAGCTGTCGATGTAAGAACGGAAGCGACTCACATACATGTACAGTAATATTGATATTTGACAACAAACTGCTTTTTTCTAAGGATTCAAAGCACTGGATAAAGTGCATCATGCAGAAGGCCACAACAGCTGGAGAAACCCTACCCTTTCACCATAAATTCCTTCGGATCTTCATTGTATGCTGATCTAGTGCGTAGTACCAATCCAACCAAAAGGATGACTTTTACGGATGACAACAGAGGGTCTCTCGTGACCCATGCCAGCAGGCATCAATCTCAGAGAGTAAAAGATTCAGCAAGCAATATACGGCACAGCTTCCCATCCAAATTTTTCACCCAAGCACTGCTCCAACCTGAAAATGGTCTTCACTTTTCGATGTGTATAATGGAATATTCTCATTGTGACTTAAATTGTATACATGGCAGATATATCCTAGTGGATTGGCTGGTAGAGGTAGCAAGCATGAAGGGCTACTCCTCGCACACTCTACACATGGTGGTGGGCTGCATTGATCGCTATCTCATGCACCAACCTGTCTCCAGGGGGAACCTACAGCTGGTGGGCATTACAGCAATGGTTATCTGCTCAAGGTAGGTACAGAGTGCAAAAGATGGAAGACTGTTCATAAACCAAGTGTGTCTCAGTTTTTCCAATTCAGAGATCCTAGAATATGATTCCTGTTGAAGCATAGCTGTTCCAAACTCAGAAAGGTTTTGAATGGGGGATACCTGACTCATATCATGCGTTGACTTAAAGCTAAAGAGGTTCAGTTTAACCATTTTTCATTTAAAATTCACAATTTTAACAATCAGTCTCCTGAAAACAGTGAATTCTCATTTTCCACACAGTCACTCTTTTGGTAGTTATTGCATGTTTCAAACTTATACAGCAGATGACAAGTCATTTTGTCTGTTGTTTTGTTTTGCTATTTATGTGTTATTTCTAAAGCTAAGTTATTTGCCAGTAAAACCTAAGCTGAATAGGGAAAAGGCAGTTTGCATAAATAAAAGTGTGCATGAAGTCCATCTGTCCCTCCATCTCCTCTATTGTGTAGGTTACTAGAGCCTGACATCATCACCATTAGGGAGGCAGCTTGGCTTACAGACCGCACCTACAGATACGAGAAGGTTGTTAGAATGATGGGAGACATCTTAGCAACGCTACATGGAAAAATAGATGTAAGTTGACGGGATCTAAACCGTTCCTTGAAAACATATGTTTCAGCTACAGTTAAGACTGTTCCTACTTGGCACGAATGTGACATCGTAAAGTTAAAATTGGACAAATTTCAAGTCAAGCAAATTTCACTGCAAATGTTTGTGGATGTCAAATTCATTTCTCTTTTGCATATTTTTTATCTGAAGTGAGAACCAGTTTTTAGGTTTATCAGTTAGATTTCCTCCAAGAGATAATTTGTATCAAAAAAATTGTGCATTCATACTTGCAGCTAAGAAATCAGAGTAGATACAACATGCAATGTATGTGTGAACAACAGAATGTTACTTTAGGTATGTATCTATTATCACTTTCTTTCATTTTTTTCCCCCTTTTTTGACAAGGTGCCATCAATGTGGGAATACCTGATCCTATACTGTCAGCTAGTCGGTGCAGATCGGCGTTTGAAGTATCTTGCCTTGTACATCAGTGAGTTAACTCTGCTCCACATTGAGTTTGGTCGCTACTCCTTTGGCCACCTAGCAGCCTGTGTTTTCTACCTGGCCAGAATCATTTATGCTTGTGGTAAGGCATCCTTTGTGCAGATAATTTGGTTTTGGTATTTTTGTCGAGCAGCCCGTCTCCTAAACATGTGAGGTGGACAGACGGTTATAAGGTAAAGAAGGTGTTGTCAAAAATTTGAGGCAACTGATGTAAGTCATTAAACAAAAATGAAGTGGAAACCAACTTAAGTTGTGCCATTTCAGCACCAATAAGATACAGGTTGTGTTGACCTAAAGCAAATGGCCTTACTTTCATTCACTTATGTGTTTCTGCACAGCACCCTCGGCTATGATCACCTAAGATTTAATATCTCGTGGTTATTATTTTTACAGAATCATGATATTTATTTAAAAACAGAAATAGCATGCTAAACCTTAGCCTTTCCCTCTGTCTGTCAGATTGCCCATGGCCCTCCAAGCTGATAGATTACACCAGCTTCCAACCTGGAGACCTTGTATCATGTACACTCCATGTGCACAAGAAGTGGTATGGAAACTCTAAACTGCAGTCATTAGCCCCAAACCCCCAAGGCTCTTGCACTAGGGAACATTCTGAACCCAACAAACTTCAACACATACTGTGTACATGCAGGTCACTGTACCAAACCTGATAAACTCCAACAAAGTGACTCAGAGTTTGAGTAATACCGTTCTGGTATGGATGGGTCTCTGCAGTATAGGATGACATGCACTAAAGCAGTACCAAACCTGACAAGATCAAGCATGATTCAACACTTGGTAGAGCAAGCCAGAGCAAGCCAGACACTGCACACAATGAGTTTGATGGATACTGGACAGCTAGGGTTAGTGTACTAATTTAGTGTACATCAAAATAGAAATTGTGTTATATCTAAGACAGTACTTCTCATGGGCTGGTCAGTGTATCCAAGTGTTGCGAAGTGATGACAAAATCATAAAAAATTCACATCAACTTCCAATCACTGGATTTCCCTAATCATGAAAGGGGAACAGAGTAGCTTTTTGTTTAACTAGTGTGAAGTTTTTCTGAGACATTTACATAAATTAGAAATTGTTTTGGTGTATGGACACCACAGATAGCATGGCAACAGTTTCCAGTCGTAAAACTTACGGAAAATAGAAAACCCAACCTGTTGCTATATATATAAACCATTTTAGATTATGTGTACCGTGTCCCAGGCATTTGCTCTCATTGGTTTGAAGACTTTGTAAAGTAATTTTCTTTTTTGTTTTTTTTTTAATTTGTAAAGTTTTGCTGAGGAGCCATTGTTAGACCATCGCAACATCAAACTGTCAGCTGTGAAGCAGCGCTATGCTGAAGACGAATTCCACACTGTCAGCACCATTGCAGTCTTGGATCACGCTGCATTGTGCACGCAGCTCTACGTCAAGGAGAATGACTTGATAGTAGAAGACAAGATCCTCCCCTTGCCTGGAACCCCGACTCCCTGTGGCAGGATAGAGCCCTTCCTCCTGTCACCATCCCGGACCTCAAGGTCAAACAGGTGAGAGGTCATCAGAACCTGACCGTTGAATACTCACACAAGTTCCAATCATGTTGCTGCTCCGCACCCAATGACCATTGTAAAACTATCTTGGTTCATTTTTGTTAGCCCCACGTTAATAGTAGAAAGCACTGTTACAACTATTGTATGAGTGACAGTCACTCCGCACAAAACCCAACATAAAGCTTTCTGCCATTCAAGGGGAGTCATCGGGAATGTCCAGTAAAACATCTCTGCATTTGTCTATATTAGGTCATGTAGAAAATGCTTAGATTAATCAAAGGAACTAAGTTTTTTATTTTTTTTTAAATGTCAGTTGGTTTCTGTCAACCAAATGTTTTTGCTGTAAATCCCAAAATTTATTCCTCAATAATCAAAATTGTCAAAATTTCAATTCTTGTTCTATTAAGTTTATGAAAAATTGCTCCCCTTAAAATACTTAGGCATCAGGAGGAGCCTAAACAGGACAGGGAAGACCTTGTTACCACGCCAACAGGTGAGCTATCCACCAGTGCCCTTGAGAGGAGCTTCCAAGAGGCCAAGAATGAGAGTATGATGTCGTTGGAGTCGGGATACGATGCCGACATGGAAAGTGACGCTGAGGGAGAATCCTTAACTGACGCTGCCAACAATAATGGTAAGCAGACAGTTTTTACCCGACAGCCCAGAAGTGTAGTATTCCAGTCTGAATGCGATTGTGAGTCCTAAATACTACTTAGAGCCAGATTCCGTATAAATTAAGAAATGGATTCGAGACTTGAGATTTGACTTGTCTGTAAAACTGTTTGTTTGTTTTGGGTTTTTTGTTACAATGGTCTTGGAGTTATTCTTGGAATAGGACTGTGAAATGATCAGGTAAAGCCCTTCTGGAAGAATTGACCCCACCCCCAAAAACCTAGTCAGGAAAAAGTGTTTCTTTCAAACTCGGAATAAGCCACTGAAGAGTATTTGCAAAAATCATGCGATTTTCGTACTAAGCAATAAATTCTGTAACAAAATCCACATGACTCCAGCATCAAGACATTCAAGGTACAGAAACAGTAATGGAAGTGCAGCCTTGTTTCCAATTAGGGTATACACATGTATGCCTTCAGCTTATATCCCTCTACTTTAAATTCAGTCACAAGATATGACCATACACATTTGTCAAAGTGCTTCTTTGTCATTTGAAATTGATTTTGTTTCTTCTGTTTGTTTCCTGTGTAGGCTGTATACGACCAACCCCCATTTTTGACACACACCTTTCTGATGCTACCTCCTCTGTTGACTCTCAAGCGTCAACCTCCACTGCTGCAGGCTCTTCACACAAATCATTCCATTCCTCTCAGGCCCAGCCCACTGTTTTCACCAGCGCTGCAAGTTCAATACCAATTGCCCAATCCCAGGTTGTCCCAAGTGTTCTATGTTCTACCAGCAATCCAAAATTTGCAGCAGGAGACCAGCAGAGCCCGAATAACTCCATCATCCGCAATAACCGCAATGCCTCAATGGAAAAACTAGCCCAATATCAGAGACCCTATTCAGGGCAGGCTTTTAAGTTTGACTCCAATGGGAAGTTGAGACTTGGATCACCACGGCGACCACTGAAGCGACTGGAGAACAGTCATTGTCGGAGAAAATCCAGGAGGCAGTTTGCCAACAGGAGGAACACAAGTCAACAACATGAGGGTGAGAACGTACAACTTCAGACATAATCAGGGATGCCTTACGGCTTGACTCCACCATTTTTCGATTCCTTCCATAAGCCTTTACATGTAGTCAGTTTAAAATACATGGCCAATTTGGTGAGGAATCTGAATAGGATATTAAAAGAATGATACATGTATGTATGTATATGAGTAACAAATTGCTGATAAAAGGTCATTGAGGGGAGTCATATTAATTATTTGCTGCCTAATGTCTCAGTTTTCATAGACCAAACAGATCAACTTGCTGCATGGTACAACACATTAACCCTAACCCTCCTCAATACTTCAACAGGTGAAGGATTGAGGAGGATTAGGGTTAAGTTTAACTTCTACAGATTCAACAACGGCTCGAAATTGACTGGCACAGGTAGCTAAAATGCACCCGTTTGTCTCAGAAATGTGCCCGTAAATCATAATGTTGGGCGCAAGTACTTATTCCCATTTGATTCCATGTACACGTATCTGAACATTTTTACCGCTTGTTTCTACTTTTGTCAGGAAAAATACCTGAACTTTTGACTTTACTTCAGATCAGCCTTGTTACGGAACCCTAACACGTTACAATTTTGTTTACAGTGTCACAGAGCGCACGCCGCAGTCTTGCATACACACACATGAACGCACACACACGCATACCCACAGCCAGTGTCATGATTGTATGGAAACTGGCCCCCCTGTGCGTAAATTCAAGCCAAACAAGTGGATTCAGCTTAGACTTCAGTTTCACTGGTTCCAGTCATAGCTTGAACATGTGGTTTTGAACCATGCTTCAAATAGCTGGAACCAGCAAAACCAAAGTCTCAGCCGAATCCACTCATTTCAAAAATGCTCGAGTGCTCCAGGTAGTTCCCTTTTACGTCTGTGTGCATATGCACGTTATAAAGGCCCCTGACTAAAGGTGCCTGACTTTTTGTGTAGTGTCGCTAAGCACATGATTGAGACTCTGGGTGGTCACACACTCACTACTAGTTGTACGTCCCCTGCAACCCACAAAAATAACAATTCGATCAAGGCTTTAATATCTGCCAAAGTCTAAGCCATAAGTTATCAGTGTCATTAATTTAAAAGCAACAGCAAGGACCAGGGTCTTTGGTTTTTTTTTCTTGAACATATGTCTTTAATATTGTATGGGAGCAACTTGCTCCAGTAAACTGACAAATTCAGCTGTCTAGGGAATAAGTACTTGCTCCCGTGATGATTAGCCCAATTTCAAGCCCTGAACAATATTTGTTTTTAGTCTGTTGGATTTGATTTGTAAAGCATTTGTGTCTGTTGATATAAAAACTCAAATTTGACCTTTGACGCCTACATTGTAAGATTATTAGAGAGAGCTTGATATCATAAATATGCAAGCAATTGCAGGTACGCTTATTTCAGATTCTGTTGAAGATTCTTTTCAAGTGAGACTGAGGTCCGACTCAACAAAAAGTACTTTCTTTTCAGTTTTGAGAGTTCAGTTAAATTCTTATAAATGTAATCATTGAGCAAAGGGGTTGATTTTATTTTTAAATGAACAGAATTTGGAAGGGATTTTTTTGTCCCATGAATGTTAACTTATATCCAAATGCTGTGTACATGGGTAAAATCTAATTCAAATTTTTTTTTTTAAAGTAAAGAGATGGGAATGATTTCTTTGAATGACACTGCTTTGTTCATTCAGTGACTGCTGAAGGTGTTCAGGTTCAAACGCCTGGTTAATGTGCTACATGTACAGTGTCTGTTGATGAACTGCAGTACGCACAGTGTACATTATTTTGTTTTTTGAGACGGTACAGGTTATGCATTGACATCCATGAATTGTGTAATTCCTGATTTAGCTTCTGAGGGTTAAATGCTGGGTCATGCGAATGGAATATGTGTCGATGTAGTGGAGTAAATTCTGTCAGCAGTGGTTGATCACTGTGATGTCATTGTCAGTTTGTGTCACTGCCATATTTGAGCTGTGCTTCAAAAACTTAATTGGATCCCTTTTGATTCAAATGCTTGCAAAACTGAAAAGAAAAAGTGTGGATTTTCAGTTTCCATTCTTTCAGACACATTTTCCAAGAAAACTATGCAAACAATGATATTCTGTTTTAGTTTTGTACTGTAAAAGTGATACGTGTGTGTACATGTATCTTTCTTGTTAAAAAAAAAGTGTATAAAAGTAAACCAGAGCTTTTGTTGTCTTTCAAATCTGTAGATCACAAAGGTCATAACTTGGCACAGTTTAAACAAGGGTCTGCTGGGGTTGCTGAAATTGCATAAACAATAGAATTTGCTTTGAGAGTTGCATACCATTTTATTCTTAGTTTACCTACATGTAGATTTAGTCAGAACTTTTTGTCTGTCGTTTTGTTTAGGGATTTTGTATTTCAATCTTTTTTGTCATGAAAACTGCCCAGGAAAAAATACATTGAACATGTTTTGTACTTGCAAAGCAAAATGATATTGTACCTTGTTATTCTTCAAAGTTCAACTCTTGTGTGGTTCACGAAGAATTTTGCACAGCTGAACTACAACATAAACAGTGTCAAGGCAATCCCTTGCTAGAAAAATGACCTGTATAGTCGAACCTCGTTGATAAGAGCACTGTTAATACAAGAGTCTGCTTATAACAAGGATAATCATAGGTCCTAATCTTTTGTTTATAATTGTTTTCATTCCTGATAATACAAGGTTCTGGTTATAACAAGGTAATTTGCCAAGTCCAAAGGGCCTCTTATTAATGAGGTTCGACTGTATATGCACTCATTGCTGGAAACAAGAGATGAAATGTTTTTACTTTTGCAGATGCATTCTTATTTCTGTTGAAATGTATGCAATGTAGTTTTCCCATGCACGCACAGTGGGTCAAGTTGGATTCTTTTTCCACCAATTGTGTCTTCTGTACCAGTGAGATGCTTTAGTTCAAAAAGTCCACCTCAGGTTCCCAAACATTCATATGCTTGCCAGAAGGCCTCCCCCCAATAACCACATACATGTCAGCATCAAAGATATGGTTCTCGTGGCAAAGAAATTCATATACATACATGTATGTACATGTATATAAGGATGCTGCTCGACACCTGGTGTGCACAAACCGAGACTAGCGTTTTCTAATTTAACATTTCCATATTTTCACTACTACATTTGACATTGGACATTGTTTTCAGATGGTTCGTAGGTCACCTTGGAGAAAAATGGCTTCCATTTATGGTTTTTTCAGTTCTTATGATGTACCCTCCATCTGGTACTTTAGCGTGGGGCCCCAATACCCAAAGATGGCAACGGGCTGTCACTAACCAACTAAAGAAGCAGTTTTACAATCCCAAACTGGGTGGTTATGTATAGCTGGCATCTCCATGGCGTCTCAGAGGCTGGTTGTCATTTTAATCTAGTTATAACAAATGCACACAAAGTTTATTGAAGACTAAGTCCAGCAATACAAAACTCTTGCCCTCCGAGGACACAATAATGCGCACCTGTAACTTCTATTCCTGACCACTCAATGTAGTTTCCGACAGTGGCGAACCCACAATCTGTCAAGGGTGCCGACTGGAATTTACCCATTATACTCAATCATTGTGATCTCAAAGGTCATGACAAAGAGCGATAGCAACTTGAGTCAAGAGCAAACAAAATGCCAGACAATTTGACTTTCAAAAAGCAACTTTGCATTTTAATTACAGTACAATTAAAGAAACATGTCAGACATGTTAAAGTGCAAGATAAATGGCAAATGGTAAACAGTGCAAAAATATTCAGAAACATCATAATGACGATATTACTTTGCAAAATAGAAGAATCATTCAAGAAAATGCACAACAAAACCCAAATCTTTGGAAAAACTGCAAGTGATGGCATGTACAAGGGCTACTTGGCAACAACACCTGTACCAATAAATGTGCATGAGCTCCGTACACATGATGTACTTTTTACAATTTCAACTACTTAAGCAAATGCAACTTATGAAAGCATAATTAAAGTAACACATAATACTTATTACATGCCAAGGTTCATTCATACTTCACTGCACCGATATTTAATTTGATATTTTGATATAATATTTAGATTGATACATATAGGAAGCATACCTCAAGTACAAATCATGTAAACCTAACATTTTTATGCCCTAGAAACGATTCAAAACAAAAGCAGCAATCTCCACTTCCATATCCAGCCAGTGCAAAACATTGGCTTGTCTCCTCTCAGTGAGTACATTGTTAGAAGTTGTAGTGTGACTTGGATCAAAACATCCAGCATCCAGCAATGATACTTGGCCGAATAAGCAAATGTTTCATTTACAAAAAAATCATGGTGACAGTGCCCAAGACAAAATCATCAGCCCCGGGTTGACAACCAGAAACAGGAAGAGTGATATAAACAGAACAAGTACAATCAAGGACATGGAGGCCACAAAGGCGGTGTACTCTTCATCTGTCTTGAAGACCCGCACTGCGTTGGGATTGCTGTAGGTTTGTCCTCGTCTTCTAGGGGACCACCACCGCTAGTCGCTTTTGGCTTCCGTCCCCTTGCCTGCAAAGCCAAGATCTGGCATGTAGTCGGTCTCAAGCTGTCCCTTCTCTTCGGTGGCAGAGGGAGCTGTCTTGTTATCGGCAGCAGATCCATGCATGCCCAGACGCACAGCCATCTTGGTGCGGAGCGGGGCGGCGATGCGCCAAGTGAAGCGGCCTGCAAAGAGGCCACCCAAGATGACTGCACCGATGAAGACGGTGGCCATCATGCAACCAACCAGGGCAAGAAGTAGGATCACAATGGCCGAAAGTATGGCAGTGCCTGCAGAAATGGACAAGGGAAAATGGCACAGATGACATAACAGGAATGACACCGAGGTTTTTAATAGTCTAGTTTAGCTGGAGACTCATGCAAATGCCCTCTTTTATGAGGGATTTTTGCCCTTTGCATACTTGTACTGCAAAGACAGATTGATCAATTTCAACTGAAGAGCTAGAAGATACTGAACATCGTGCACCCAAATAAGTGTACCTAAATTCAGAAAATGTGAGGTTTTGGGAGATTTTGCAAGCTTGTTTTCTTTCCGAGATAAAAACAAACAAATTTTGGGTCCAGCCAATACATGTACTTTGAGAAAAGGTAATGCCACCAAGTTACATCACAGCAAGGTTTTGCACTGTGGATTTGGAAAAATTGAACACATTTCAACTCTAGGAGACTTTGCTGCTATTTCCAGCAACATCAAATTCACTTTCAATTTGCATTTGCACGAAGTGTGAGCTTGCCTTTTATTTATTTACAGTCATATTCAGTCAACTTTTATATGACAAAGTTGCCTGGACTAGACAAATTACTTTGCTCTTATCAGGACTTTGTTATAAAAGGAGTGGAAACAAAGAAAAAATATTCCTAAAACTGGAATTTGCAGAATTTGGTCTTTATGACACCATTTTATTATATCAGTGTTCTTTATATCGTGAGTGGACTACACATGTGTTGAATCTGCAACATGCTTGATGAAAAGGAGCAGTCAGTCCAGCAGTCTGCATTCAGTCAGTCTGTCACTTGATCATTCACTGTCATACCTTCAATGACGAGCAATGCAATAACGCCAATGATGAGAAAGGTGGCCACAAATGACACAAAAGCCACAGCTGGGAGAAAGCTCGTTGCCACAGCAACACCAATCAAAGTAGCAGCAATGGGTCGTTGTTTGGCAAAGATGATGGCTGCTGCACTGCGTTCCTTCACATGAAGGTATTCCATCATGCTTTGAAGCCACGTCTGCGCATGGCGCAATCTTTCACTGCAAAAAATGGAAAACTCACTATTATAATATCATTAATAACAAAAGACTAACTAGGGAAGCTAAACTGGCTATGTCTAAAAGTGATAAATGTACAAAAAGCACATCAAGGCCTGTGTAAATTGAGATCACCAGAGGTGTAGACTGGACTCACTTGACCTGGACTCAAATCGGACTCGAGTTGCTATTTTTGTGACTCGTGACTCAACTTGTAACTTTACTTTGACTTGCAAAAAATAAATTGTGACCCGACTTCGACTTGCTTATTATGACTTTTTACCAAAGCAAGTCAAAACTATTCAACTGAACCCATTAAAGTTTTAAATAAGCCTATCAACTTAGGCCTTGCGTTCTTGAAATAATCAGTGTAAGACTTTGTTTGGTCTCGTCTCCCAAGGCAACGTCTGAATCACTAGACTGTAGCTTGAAATCACACCTCGCGCAACTTGACAAAAAGACTTGAGACTTGCTTGTGTTTGGACCAAACTGCCTCGTCACTTGACTTTACCTGTTATCAAATGACTTGTGACTGG